AGAGGAGGAGGACAAGGTGGAGGACAAGGTGAAGGAGAAGGAGGAGGAGGAAGAGGAGGAGGAGGAGGAGGAGGACAAGGTGAAGGAGAAGGAGGAGGAGGAAGAGGAGGAGGAGGAGGACAAGGTGGAGGACAAGGTGAAGGAGAAGGAGGAGGAGGAGGAGGACAAGGTGGAGGACAAGGTGAAGGAGAAGGAGGAGGAGGAAGAGGAGGAGGAGGAGGACAAGGTGGAGGACAAGGTGAAAGAGAAGGAGGAGGAGGAAGAGGAGGAGGAGGAGGAGGACAAGGTGGAGGACAAGGTGAAGGAGAAGGAGGAGGAGGAAGAGGAGGAGGAGGAGGACAAGGTGGAGGACAAGGTGAAGGAGAAGGAGAAGGAGGAGGAGGAAGAGGAGGAGGAGGAGGACAAGGTGGAGGACAAGGTGAAGGAGAAGGAGGAGGAGGAGGAGGACAAGGTGGAGGACAAGGTGAAGGAGAAGGAGGAGGAGGAGGAGGAGGACAAGGTGGAGGACAAGGTGAAGGAGAAGGAGGAGGAGGAGGAGGAGGAGGAGGAGGACAAGGTGGAGGACAAGGTGAAGGAGAAGGAGGAGGAGGAAGAGGAGGAAGAGGAGGAGGACAAGGTGGAGGACAAGGTGAAGGAGAAGGAGGAGGAGGAGGAGGAGGAGGAGGAGGAGGAGGAGGAGGAGGAGGACAAGGTGGAGGACAAGGTGAAGGAGAAGGAGAAGGAGGAGGAGGAAGAGGAGGAGGACAAGGTGGAGGACAAGGTGAAGGAGAAGGAGGAGGAGGAAGAGGAGGAGGAGGAGGAGGAGGAGGAGGAGGATAAGATGGAGGAGAAGGAGGATAAGATGGAGGAGAAGGAGGATAAGGTGGAGGAGAAGGAGGATAAGGTGGAGGAGAAGGAGGATAAGGTGGAGGAGGAGGAGGAGGAGGAGGAGGAGGATAAGATGGAGGAGAAGGAGGATAAGGTGGAGGAGAAGGAGGATAAGGTGGAGGAGAAGGAGGATAAGGTGGAGGAGGAGGAGGAGGAGGAGGAGGAGGAGGAGGAGGAGGAGGAGGATAAGATGGAGGAGAAGGAGGATAAGGTGGAGGAGAAGGAGGATAAGGTGGAGGAGGAGGAGGATAAGATGGAGGAGAAGGAGGATAAGATGGAGGAGAAGGAGGATAAGATGGAGGAGAAGGAGGATAAGATGGAGGAGAAGGAGGATAAGATGGAGGAGAAGGAGGATAAGATGGAGGACAAGGAGGATACGGTGGAGGAGAAGGAGGAGGAGGAGGAGGAAAGAAGAAGAAGAAGAAGAAGAAGAAGAAGAAGAAGAAGAAGAAGTAGAAGAAGAAGAAAAAGAAGTAGATGGAGAATCAGAAGAAGAAAAAGAAGTAGATGTAGAATCAAAAGAAGAAGAAAAAGAAGATGAAGAAGAAGGGAAAAGAGGAAATAGGACAGATAAATTAAAAGTAGAAAAAAAAAAAAAAAAAAAAAAAAAAAAAAATCAAAATCAAGGGAATGAGGTATGAGTACTTACCAGAGAAGAGGTGCTTGTGGTTCACCCCAAGGGAAATGAGAGAGTGCTCCTTCAACCGACTGAGCCTGTCCGCCTCACACTGGTACACGGATAGTGGCTGCTCCTCCGATTCCTCCTGCACCAAAAGTGTTTCCGAATTGAGCCATGTGAGGGCCAACGGCAAGCCCTCGAGGGAGGTCGTTGAGAGGTAGTTAAACTTTCTGTCCATTATCTTGTATAACAAAACTGATGGAATCCTGGAATGAAAACAGTTCATAATAATAATAACTGCAATAGCTGTCATACAAAGGTAATAACTCTTTATTTCTATTGCTTCTTCCATGGCAATCTCAAGACATGTAAGACAACCAAGTTAAGAAAACTCACTTGTCTAACACGGTAGCAACTAGATACTCATCCTCTGCACAGGGGTAAAGAGCAAAACATCTAAGGGGAGGATAATCAGGGAGATATCGCGTGGCCTCAGCCGACTGCTTGATTCTCTCCTCACTGTACTTAGTGAAATGGTGAAGGATGGGGGATGTGTGTTCACGGGTGTCTATTACTGCCACACACTGGCCTTTTTCATACTCCCACAGTCTTAATGTCCCGTCCTGAAAAATATTATGCCAGAGATATTATGTCCAACTGAAATAACATGTACATAAAATCAATATGCATCAGTGATAGCACCATATCCTGATACATTGCTAGTAACAATTAATATAGGAGAGTTAAGTGACTGACACTTGCAATTTCATGGACCATTCCCAAGTTAACCATAAAATAATGACACAAATTATATATATTTTGTATTAATACCTAAATTTGCACTTACCCCAGAGCAGGACAGCAACAGATTACTGTGGCTTGGCAAAAGATCAATTTGCGTAACAAACTCTCTGTGTCCAAGGCAAAACGATTGAATGTTATATGAATTTGGGTAGTGTGACACCCTTATTTTCTCATCTCTGTCACACGTAATAACGAATCTACTGTCTTGTGAAATTACCTGAAAGGTGAAAATTTGCATTATTTAAATGTGGAAACTATTTTACTTATTTCCAATCACAAATTACAGTGGGGTAATGGTGAATGCTATACATAGCACTGGGTATAGCAAAATTCTCATTTAACCAGATGGAAACATCAAGGTAACTGAGAAGTTTGGAAGGTACCCAGGATTAATAAACTACACACTATAACATTGAGAAATAGTAAAGCAAAGTACATAAATGATCAATAAAATAACAAAATGCTCACATGTTTGGTAATTTATTATGAAATAAAAATATAAAAAGACACAGACACACACACACACACAAAATAATAGTAATAATAGAAACACACAGGCAAATCAATCTCATCAAGCACAGAAAACCTCGCAACCTATCAGGTAAAAAGAGGTATACCTACCACGTCAAGCAGCATAGAAAGATGTCCCAAAAGAGCTGGCACATTACTTTTCTCTTCATCATTTCCTTGACTTTCAGACTCAGGAGACATTTCCTGCTTGTCATGACAAACAGAAGTCACCTCCAGTTCACCTCCCTTTAATGGGAAATGATACACATCACCTGTTTTGTCTGCAGACATAACAAAATAATAAAGATGTCACCAAGGGCTAGAACTTAATGATGCTTCGAAAACATTCTTCATATGGTTTATATGCAGACCTAAATAATCAGTATATGGTAATGGTAATGGCAATGATGATAATGATGATGATCTTGATAAAAAAAAAAATAATAATAAAAAATAAAAAAATAATAATAATGATAATAATAATAATAATAATATTTTTTATCAACAGCAACAATAATAACAATAACATTGATAATAATAATAACTATAAAAAATAATAACAATAATGAAAACAAAAAAATAAAAACAATAACAATACCAACAACAACAACAACAACAATAATAATAATAATAATTATAACAATAATAATAATAATAATAATAATATCAATGACCATGACAATGATACTGACAATAATAACCATGACTGATTATAATAATAATAATTATCATTATTATTATTATCATTATTACTATTATCATTACTACTATTACTGTTGTTATCATTATTATTATCATAATAAAATAACAATAATAATGGCAATAACTTAAAACACTTGCATATACCCTTAGCTCACCTGCAACCAAGATCACTTTTGAGTCTGAGGAGATGTCCACAGAAACAGGTCGTTTGACTAGGTTGTGGGTGTATTGCAGTGACCAGGACTGTGTACACCACACAGTCACTGTCTTGGGCTCACATGCAACAGCTAGATATTTTTCATCATCTGATATCCTTGCACAAACCACCTGGTGCTTGCTGCAAAACATTGTATCTGTGATTTAGTAAAATATTGAGATATAGATTAGCAAATATAGGCATTGGATAATTATATTATCAAGACATAAGCACTCTCTCACTCACACACACACACATACACACACTCTCACACTCTCACTCTCACTCACTCTCTCTCTCTCTCTCTCTCACTCATACACAACACACACACACACACACACCCACACACCCACACACACACACACACACACACACACACACACAACACACACACACACCACATAACACACACACACACAACTCTCTCTCTCTCTCTCTCTCTTCTTCTCTCTCCTCTCTCTCTTCTCTCAATCACTCAATCCCACACACACACACACAGACACATATAGACACACACACTCACCCTTTCACTCTCTCTCTCACCACTCAATCCCACACACACACACACACACAACACACACACACACACACAACACACACACACCACACACACACACATACACCACACTCACTCACTCTTTCACTCTCTCTCTCACTCACTCAATCCCACACACACTAACACACACTCTTTACACACACACACACACACACACACACACACACACACACACACACTCACACACTCACACACTCACACACTCACACACTCACACACACACACACACACACACACACACACACACTCACACTCACACACTCACACACTCACACACTCACACACTCACACACTCACTCACTCACTCACTCACTCACTCACTCACTCACTCACTTTCTCACTCTTTCACTCTCTCACTCTCTCTCTCTCTCTTTCACACACACACACTCCTTCATACACACACATTCTCTTTCTTTATACACACACAAACACAAATATATATCAGGGTTTGAATTTGAATTACACATTAGTTTAAAACACATTTTGGAGTGCTTTTACAGCATGTTGTATCATCTCTCAGTTGGTTACAAAGTGTTTGAACTTGTCAAGCACACCAGTAGCCATTGGCCAGGATTGCATCATCTCTCTGTCCTGACTCCTGTTCCTGTATATATCATGTTAACCCATTCGCGCCGGGTAAAAATGAACAAAAAATGGGGGAAATGCTGTGTTCATTTTTATATTTTTTAATGAAATTTCTCTACACTAGATGGCTCTGCTTTACCGGATTTCATTTGGCAGGAAAATGTATTTTTACTAGTGCTATGAATATCGATGGTTATTTCTATTATAAACATTATAATTACTCTAATGTAATAAACATTAGTAACAGGAAAATAAAATAACGCAAAATAATTTCGTAAATTAAAGAAAAGGGTAAACAGACGAGACAGGCAGTACAAGTGCAAGTGGAGCCATCTATGTTTGTAAACAATCAAACAAGTAAACTCAAAGTGGGCCCGTCACCTATATGTGACGCCCGGCGCGAATGGGTTAAGATATGGCTGGACTTGTGACACTGTGTAGTAGCTTGGGTGTTACTGCCACTCATTCCTGAGCTAACTGCAAGAGTGGAGAGATCTCACTGAGCACAAGGCTTAATGGTAGGAAGAGTGATCCAATGTAGGAACATTTTAACAGAATTCCTTCAAAGTCTGGGAAAGGATAGAGAACTATATGTTAACAGTGTAAACCTGAGTTACAAGGAATAGTAACAGGAATGAAATCTCAGAAAAATGTCAGAAACTACATATCAAATTATCAGAGGAGGATTTATATGATCCAGGTAAGACTGAAAATGCAACTCCAGCATCACAGAAAGAATGTCCAACTTCTACCACAAGTTTCTCAAAGCAAAATAATGAAGAAGTTCCTAAGATGGTCTTTGCAACCAACTCTTCATTTAGATTGGTAGAACATCATGTAAAATGGTTGGGAAGTTGAGGCCAGAATACACTCCTCCTACAAGAAAAGCAACAGCAGACAAATTCCTACTCCTGATATATGAAAAAGATTAAGCAAAGTGTGCCATAGAGATGAAAAATGAGATTAGATGGATGGTCTAACATTTACAAATGAGCCTATTATATGTATTACTGTAACAACCTAAAATGGCCATATATATCAAGTGGATATAATAGACACAAGTGGCCAGCCTCATACAGTTGAATATCTGGAAGAGCTCTCAAAATCAGCAATTCAGAAGTAAAAAGAACTTGGTTGCCATATTGGTAGCATTGTGACAGATAAAACTGGTAACGTAATCAAAATGAGGAAACTGCTAGAACAGGGAAATGAACTGAATCTGGTGACCAATGGCTGTACTGCACACATTCTAAATCTTCTGGCTCATGATCTGGAAACTGGCAATAGTAAAGAGCATGTGGTGTATCTAGTAAAATACTTTAAAAACAATCATAATGCATCAGCAAGATACCACCAGGAAGGTAGGCAACATCTAGTTATGCCTCAAGACACAAGATGGAATACCATTTGTAACATTCTGAAGATATACATAAAGAGCTGGCCACCTATCATGAAAATGTGTGAAGTTGTTAGGGAGCAGATTGATGTCAAAATTTGAGAGGTGTCTAACTAAGCACTGATGTGGTCAGCAGAATACCTTCTTACATGGCTAGAACCAATGGCTGTGGCTTTGGACAAAGGACAGTGATAAATGTACAACTGCTGAGGCAGTGAACATATGGAAAGAATTAATCACAACTTCATGCAATGACAGAGATGCAGTAACTACTGCAAAAAAGAGGTATGGCCAAATCATAACACAAGCTCATCTTCATTCAAACCTGATTAATCTTTCCTTTCAAGGAAAACTGCTTAGTGCAGAAGTGAATAATGCAATGGACTATGCCAAAGAAAATTTTCTCTCACTTGTCCCAGTCATCTTGAAATTTCAAGCTAAATCGGCTTCCTTGCAATGCAATTAAGTTTAGTGATTCTGTGACCAAGTGTACATCATCCATTGAATGGTGGAGGTCACAAGATGTAATTTCAGCAGCACAACAACTACTGTCTGCAGTGGCATCTTCATCAGGGGTTAAAAGAGTTTTTCCAAGTTATGGTATAGTACATTCAGAACTAAGAAACCGGCTGCTGATAGAAAAAGTAGAAAAAACTAGTTTCTGTTTAAAATCAAGAATGCACACAAAATGCATGTATTGGATGATATTAACCCATTGCCGCCAAGGAAAATGAACAAAAAATGGGGAAATGCTGTGCCTATTTTCTACATTTTTTTGTGAAATGTTTATCTATAGATGTCTCTGTCTGAAATGGCGGGAAAAATGTATTTTTCACTAGTGCCATGAATATCAATGGTGTTATTTTTATTATAAACATAATAATTATTATAATGTTTTTTAACATTAGTAACAGCAAAATAAGATAACGTAAAATATTTTGTAAATCAAAGAAAAGGGTGAGCGGGTGGGACAGGCAGTACCTGTAACTGGCTCATTGGTGATTTAGTACAAGTGTAGCCATCTGTGTGTAAAAACAATCCAACAAGTAATCTCATAGTGGGCATGGCATGGCATGCCCGTTGGCAATGGGTTAATGATCAGGATGCATAAAAGAACCAACTTTATTGTCATAAGAATTAAAAATAAAAACTTTATTTTTAAATGGCTTTAAATTTCAGTTTCAACAAACTTATAATCTTTATGAACTCTTTTTCAAGAGAAGGGGATAATAACTTTTCAAAGAAGACTGATTTCCCAGTATTTA